GGGCTGGCAGAGCCCCGCTGTGGTCTGGCTGGGAGGGGCATTGCGGGGGGGGGCGCAGGAACCAGGAGTAGCCCTGTGGCGCCTTAGAGACTAGGAAATACGCAGCTGTAGGTGAGCGGAGGGTTTTGCCTACAAAGCTCCTGGCTCTGTTCGTGGAGTTAGTCTCTCGGGTGCTACAGCACCACTCGGTTACAGACCCACACGGCTGCGCTTCTGAGACTTTTAAGGGCAGCGGAGGGCACGGTCCACAGGCACAGCCCATAAAGCACCAGCTGTCCCGGTCACCCAGGAAACATCCCTAAAATGTAAACTCCTAAGCAGCATTGTCTTACCCTGCCCCACTGTGCACTGCTGCTCTCCCTGGAAGGCGTTTCTTGGTGGGTTCCCAGGCAGATGGTGAAATCCACATGGACCCGTTGGGACACCCGCCCTTCCAGACCTAGGATGAGTTCCTAATGTGACCCCCCTCCCCCTTCTCTCCATCCTGTTGCTGTCTCCCAGAGAAGACTAAGGAGCTACTCTTCCGCGGCGCCCAGGCCTACATGGAGAGCATGTGGAATGGGAACGCAGCAGGGACCTGCACTGTGATGGACTTTCCAGAGCCACTTAAAGATGCCCAGGAAACTTGTGCCAAGTACAGTTGGAATGGACAGCTGCTCATTGGACAAGATGGAAAACTTCTAAGGCATTCCCAAGCAATGGAAAAGAGTAAGTGGCATTTAGCAAAGCCTCTGTTACATCAGCAGATACAGGCTGTCCTCACAAGAAGTCCAAGATACATTCCAGAAAACTTGTAAGCAAAACAACTTAAAGCAGGATTTTTTTTTCCCTGCAGCTGACTTCCATTTGTGCAAATGGGGGTGAGGGGTTTGCACAATTTAAGAATGGGAAATGGGAGGACTTATAACACATCAGTTCCTACAAGCACTATCAACATATAGCAGGGATGCCCTGTATCCGCAAAGGCAAGTGTACATCATTAGTCTCCTTCAATGAATGCACAGAACATACCCTTTTCTAGTAGATTTGTCATTTGGCTCCCTTTTAGTTTAAAATATAATTGGTTTAAGAGCTGAGATCCTCATAAATGATTTATAAATTAGTTAAATATAATCTCGTTGATAGAGACTTTGGTTGCATGATACACTTAGGATGCCTTTAATGAAACTTTGTAAGTGGGCTATGTTTTGTGCTGATGCCTGCTGTAATACACTTTAGCTGTCAAAATGTCCAAAATCACTAATGTAATTGCAATCATTACATAGATATACCGTTATAGAATTTTAAACATCTGATGCTGACATTTCCTACTTCATGAATCTAAAAACATATTTCCAAAACAGCATCACCAGTGGGAATATCCAAAGCCTGTTCCTCCTGCATAAGAACTGTTGACATCAAAGAAGCTTGCACACAGTGTGATCGTTTTATATGCCAGAATTGCAGTAAACTCTGCAAGTGCTGTAATGCTGTTGTCTGTTCCATGTGTTCAATTATCGAGTAAGTGCCTCTTGGATTTTTTTAGACTATACTATTTCAGTATGGGGAGGGATGCAGTATGCAGCAGATTGTGATGGTTCATTCATATGCTGTGCCTTCACATACTGTATTTTCATGCTGTATACAAGTGATCAAGAAACTTTTAGGGGGTACATAGCTTTGTAATTAAAATGATCTGAAACAGGAAAGAATGTTGTGTATGAATTAATTACTGTTAGTGACTCTGATTTCTGTCCAATTATTCTGGGAGGTGAGAAATGCATGTCTTATAGCTCTGTAGAGCTGATAAAGGGAATACACACTTGTGAAGAATTTACAGTACCATTAGAATTTCTCTAATGTAGACAAATTGAGTAAGTCTTAGTTCTTTTAGGATTCTCTTGTTTATGGTGGGTTTTGAAGAAAGGAGGGGAAGCTTTATACTGTGTTGAATATAGTGTACATTCTATTGATATGTGATTGTTTCTCTTCTAGTTACAGTGATATTGGCGAGCAAGTTCTCTGCAATGGCTGCTCAATGTTTGAAGCCTGAAACTCTTAATGAACTATCAATACCTCTTCATGGTACTTGATATCTTAGCCATGAAGGCCATGTTTATATTTGGATATCTGATACCACTAGTGTATGGAATTAACAATGAGATTTCTATGCATTGTATGTGACTTTTTTAAATACTGTAGCTAAATAAACTTTTTTATATGTTGAAGAGATGTCTTAGTCCTTGAAGATAACTAGCCTCAGATAACAGTATTGATAACTATCTTGAACTGGGTACTACTGGCATAGTCGAGCATATTTTTCCAGTACTACAAATAGCATTTGCAACACACATTTTGTGTCAGAAGGTTGTTCTGTGGTTGCAATCTTTGGATACTGACTTATGGATCAAAATTGTATCAAGAATTAATGTAATGCTTTTTCATAGGGGGATAACATTGTTCTAGACATGCAACCTTTCTTCTGTGAGATGTAAGCACAGGCACTTGTCCTAAGTCACTCAAAGCAGAGAACTCGTAATACGGTATGATGTGTAAACTTTCTCTCAACCCTGAGATTCAGGCAGCCAGTAATGTGTGACGGTTCCTTTTAACATAACCTTGGTTTAGAAAAGATGTAAACATACCTCCCTTTAGAGTTCACATTAGAAATCTAATTGTTCAATGAGCAAGTTTTTATGTCCCTGTATCTGCAAGCTTGCTGTCTATCTCTATTAGAAACTGCAGACTACCAGTGGGGAAGGATACTTTTTCTAAAATATTCACTCTTTTAAAGTACATTTTAAGGGTCATAAAGTTATGCCATATACTTTTTTTGGGGGGGGAGGGAGAGGGTTACATCAGCTCTACAGCCTTCCTTCATTCTTCCATTTTTGTTACAGTAAAAATAGCTTAAACCTGTAGAAATCCTTTGTAGGGATGCGAACGACTAGTCGACTATCGATAAGCAAATGCTTATTGGAGAGTTGACACATAAGTTGACTAGTCGCTTCTCCCCCACCGCTGCCTCAATCAGAGGCAGCAAGGGTAGAGGAGGAGGGGCGCTTCAAAACGGCAGCATCACATGGAACCCGGAGACAGACCCTGGGCTCCACACGGCACTACTGCTTTGAAATGCTGCGTACAGCCTGGAACCAGCTGGGGGCTGTATGCAGCGTTTCAAAGCAGCAGGGACTCCCTTGCTGACCCTGAGCTCCATGCAGCACTACTGCTTTGAAACACCACTTCGAAGTAGGTATAAGAGATCCTCCGGAATAGGGCTTTATTCCGGAGGATCGGGCCAGTCTAGACGCTTTTTTCCGGCTTTTCCCCAAGCCGGAAAAAAGCGGCGGACATCTTTATTTAAATCCCGCGGGGGATATTTAAATCCCCGCGGATTTCCCTATTCTGAAGTTGAAAATTAGCATGCCCCTTTCGGAAAAGGGGCCAGTGTAGACGTAGCCATGGAGATTTCATGGCTCAAAATCCCTATTAGTTAGTAATCCTCTTGCCTGTTCCTTCAAAAGGTGGCTGTCATTAGGATGGACACCTCATGCAGAGAATGTAGGTCAGAAGAGAGAACCAGAAAGGGCAAAGAAGTATTTCTCTGGTTTGTCGGGACAAGATAGAAAGTAGATGGGTTTCCTGTACACTATGGATATAACCGAACAGTGGAGTCCCTGTCATTCCACTGCCATAATTACCTTATGTGAAGGTTCTCTGTGTGTACTTCTACATTGTGCTTTTTTCCAGTGGTGTGTAGTGTATGTAACTGAGTAGCTCTGTCTCGCTTCCCAGCATCATATAGTTGCAGTGTAGACTGAAATGAAAAAACAGGACTATGTAGCACTTTAAAGACTAACAAGATGGTTTATTAGGTGATGCTTTCATGGGCCAGACCCACCTCCTCAGATCAAATAGTGGAAGAAAATTGTCACAACCATATATACCAAAGGATACAATTTAAAAAAATGAACACATATGAAAAGGACAAATCAAATTTCAGAACAGAAGGGGGTTGGGGGGGGAGGTAAATGTCTGTGAGCTAATGATATTAGAGGTGATAATTGGGGAAGCTATCTTTGTAATGGATAATTAGAGTCTTTATTTCAAACTCAGGTGTAAAGTGTTGAATTTAAGCATGAATGACTGTTCAGAGGATTCTCTTTCAAGTGTATTCTTAAAAGGCCTTTGAAGCAGGATGCAGGTAATCAAGTCATTGAGACAATGTCCTTTCTGTTTGAAATGGCAAGAAACTGTTTTTTCTTTGTGATCCTGTTTAATATCTGTTTTGTGATAGAAATGTAGCCATGTTAGTCTGGTGTAGCTGAAACAAAATACAGGACTATGTAGCATTTTTCATCATGTGTTCATTTTTTTTAATTGTATCCTTTGGTGTATATATGGTTGTGACAATTTTCTTCCACTATTTGATCTGAGGAAGTGGGTCTGGCCCACGAAAGCTCATCACCTAATAAACCATCTTGTTAGTCTTTAAAGTGCTACATAGTCCTGACACTTGAGAAGCCTGACTTTGAACTATTGAGTGGAATATGCATTCCAATTGGAGCAGAAATCAATCCATCCCTAAAACACTTATTTTTACCAAAATATTAGTTAATTGTTGCTAGCTATTTAAATGGATAAAATAGGTGTTTTTCTTCCTTAAAAAAATCCAAGTATTTTATTTGCAGTTGCAATTTCAGTCTGTATCCTATTTACCTCAGACCATTGGACACACTGGAGACAGTGTGTCCAAATAATTTTGAATTATGCAGTTGTAACCCCTTCCAGCTTCGTATCATCTGCAAACTTAATAAGCGTACTCTCTATGCCAATATCTAAAACGTTGATGAAGATATTGAACAGAACTTGTCCCAAAACAGACCCCTGTGGAATCCCACTAGTTATGCCCTTCCAGCAGGATTGTGAACCATTAATAACTACTCTCTGAGACCAGTTATCCAGTCAGTTGTGTATCAACCTTATAGTAGCCCCATCTAAGTTGAAATTGCCTTATTTATTGATATGAAGGTCATGCGAGACTATGTCAAATGCCTTACTAAATTCTAGATATACCATGTCCACCACTTCTCCCTTATCCACAAGACTTGTTATCCTATCAAAGAAAGCTATCAGATTGGTTTGATATGATTTGTTCTTTACAAATCAATGCTGGCTGTTAGCTATCACCTTATTATCTTCCAGGTGTTTAAAGATGAATTCCTTAATTACTAGATCCATTATCTTCTCTGGCACGGAAGTTAAACTGACTGGTCTGTAGTTTCCTGGGTTGTTGTTATTTCCCTTTTTATAGATGGGGACTATATTTGCCCATTTCCAGTTTTCTGGTATCTCTCTTCTCTTCCATGATTTTTCAGACATGATTTCTAAAGGCTCAGATACCCCCTCTATCAGCAACTTGTTTATTCTAGGATGCATTTCATCATGTCCTGGTGACTCGCAGACATCTAACTTTTCTTAGTTATTTTTAACTTGTCCTTTAATTTTATCTTCTAAACCTACCTCATTTCTCAAACTAGAAATAATGTTAGGCATTCCTTCATCAGACTTCTTGGTGAAGACCAAAACAAAGAAGTCATTAAGCATCTCTTCCATTTCCAAGTTTCCTGTTACTGTTTCTTCCTCCTCACTGAGCAGTGGGCCTACCCTGTTCTTGGTCTTCCTCTTGCTTCTAATGTATTTATAAAAAGTCTTCTTGTTTCCCTTTATTCCTATAGCTAGTTTGAGCTCATTTTGTGCTTTTGCCTTTCTAATCTTGCCCCTGCATTCATGTGTTGTTTGCCTATATTCTTTGTAATTTGTCCTAGTTTCCATTTTTTATAGGATTCTTTATTTTTAGATCATACAAGATCTCGTGTTAAAGCCAAGGCGGTCTTTTCCCATATTTTCTATCTTTCCGACGCAGCAGAATAGCTTGCTTTTGGGCCCTTAACAATGTCCCTTTGAAAAACTGCCAACTCTCCTCAGTTGTTTGTCCCTTCAGTCTTGATTCCCATGGGACCTTACCTATCAGCTCTCTAAGGTTACTAAAATCCGCCTTCCTGAAATCTTTTGTCTCTATTTTGCTTTTCTCCCTTCTACCCTTCCTTAGAATTGTGAACTCTATGATTTCATGATCACTTTCACCCAAGCTGCCTTCCACTTTCAAATTCTCAACCAGTTCCTCCCTATTTGTTAAAATCAAATCTAGAACAGCTTCCCCCCAATAGCTTTTTCAACCTTCTGAAATAAAAAGTTGTCACACCAATGCAGTCCAAGAACTTATTGGATAGTCTGTGACCCGCTGTGTTATTTTCCCAACATATATCTGGATAGTTGAAGTCCCCCATCACCACCAAATCTTGGGCTTTGGATGATTTTGTTAATTTAAAAAAAGCCTCATCCACCTCTTCCACCTGGGTAGGTGGCCTGTAGTAGACTCCTGGCATGACATCACCCTTGTTTTTTACCCCTGTTAGCCTAACCCAGAGACTCTCAACACTTCCATCTCCACCTCAGTCCAAGTGTGTACATTTTTAATATATAAGGCAACACATCCTCCCTTTTTTCCCTGTCTATCCTTCCTCAGCAAGTTGTACCCTTCCATCCCAACATTCCGATCATGTGTATTATCCCACCAAGTTTCTGTGATGCCAACAATGTCATAGTTGTATTTATTTATTAGCACTTCCCGTTCTTCCTGCTTATTACCCATACTTCTTACATTTGTATAAAGGCATCTAAAGATACTGATTTGATCTTGCCTCCCAGTTTTGCCCTGACCCTCCTCTCTCTCTGCCATTATAGCCCATTCTACCTCCCATTTCCGACCCATCTCCCAGGTCTCCATGTTCTTCACTTACCCATGGGCTTTGCTCACCTTAATAGGAGTGTTGTGAACAAGACATGAGAAGTCATTCTTCTGCTCTACTCTGCACTGATTAGGCCTCAGTTGGAGTATTGTGTCCAGTTCTGGGCACCACATTTCAAGAAAGATGTGGAGAAATTAGAGAAGGTCCAGAGAAGAGCAACAAAAATGATTAAAAGTCTAGAAAACAAGAGCTATGAGGAAAGACTGAAATAACTGGGCTTGTTTAGAAAGAAGGGACATGGTAGCAGTTTTCAAGTATCTAAAATGGTGTTATAAGGAGGAGGGAGGAAAAATTGTTCTCCCTGGCCTCTGAGGATAGGACAAAATGCAATGGACTTAAATTGCAGCAAGGGAGGATA